GGTTAAGATGTTAGCAGCATCACAAAAGCAAACACTGCAGCAGCGTTCTGACTGATACCTGAGCAAAGATGGAAAAAGAGGCGATGGCTGTGGACAAGAGCTAGACAAACCTCCAGCAACAGGAACCAAAAGATGTGAAGCGTGTTCATTGTTTTCTACAGGCAGACTGGAGTTTTTGCAATGCAGCAAAGAAAGCAGAATTAATTAGATTGACTGGCTCTTGCCAAAACATCTGAACAAAGTGTACAAAAAGTGACAAGGAAACAATGAAGCTAGCTATTACATTACTGATGCATGACACTTACTGCAAATGACAAGTCATGTTACATATCCAGAACACCATCGGAGCCAAGCCAACAGTGCTGTTTTCCATCCGAAAATGGAATAGTACCCCAAAAAAAAAAATTGATATAAATAGAGTAAAAACCAAAAGAACTGCAGATGCTGTAAATAAGTTTCTGGAAAAGCTCAGCAGATCTGGCAGCATCTGCAAAGGAAAAAACAGTCAGCTTTTTTTCCTCCCCTCTTTACCATGGACATGCAATCCCTTTACACGTCCATTCCCCACCAGGAGGGTCTTAGGGCTCTCCGATTCTTCCTGGAGCAAAGACCTGAACCATCCCCAACCACCACCACCCTTCTCCGCTTGGCCAAGCTTGCCCTCACCCTCAACTTTTCAACTCATCTCATTTTCTTCAGGTAAGAAGGGCTGCCATGGGCACCTGCATGGATCCAAGTTATGCCTTCATGGGGTACATGGAACATTCCTTGTTCCAGTCCTATTCCAGCCCCCCGACCCCACAACTCTTTCTCCGGTACATCAATGATATCATTGGTGCTGCTTCCCGCTCTCATCTGCAATTGGAAAACTTCAATTTCACCTCCAATTTCCACCCTGCCCTCACGTTCACCTGGTCTCTGACTCCTCCCTTCCTCGACATTTCTGTTTCCATTTCTGGAAATAAATTGGCCACTAATATCCATTACAAACCCACTGACTCCCACAGCTACCTGAACTATACATCCTCACACACTATTTCCTCCATCGCACATGTTCAGATGAGGCCAACTTCAACGAGGGAGCCTCTGACATGTCCACCTTCTTCCTCAACCGAGGATTCCCCAGCTCCGTTGTCAACAGGGCCCTCAACCAGGTCCGACCCATCTCCCGCACTTCCGCCCTCACTCCTTCTCTTCCCTCCCGCAACAGCAATAGGGTGCCCCCTATCCTTACCTACCATCCCACCAGCATCCACATCCAAAAGATCAGACGCCATTTCTGCCACCTCCAGACACATACTCCCCTCCCCTCCCTCAGGGACCGTTCCTTCTGGGACACCCTGGTCCACACTTCCTTCACCCCCACATCCCTACGGCACCCTCACCTGTAACCGGCAAAGGTGCAACACTTCACCTGCACTTCCCAGAATCTAGTCTGCTGCATTCGCTGCTCAGTGTGGTCTCCTCTACATTGGGGATACGAAGCATAGACTTGGCGACTGCTTTGCAGAACATTTACGTTCTGCTCGCCCAAAACTATGAAAAAAAAAAAAAAAAAAAAAAGGCCCTGAACTACCTGTCGCCTGCTACTTCAATGCACCACCCTGCTCCCTGGCCAACATGCCTCTGGCTTGCTGCAGTGTTCCAGCGAAGACCAACGTAAGCTGGAGGAACAACACCTCATTTTCCACTTGGGGACCCTACAGCCCTCCAGACTCAGTATTGAGTTCAATAATTTTAGGGCCTAAACTGTCCTATGTCCCAGCCCCCCACCCCACACACCAGGCCTTGTTACCACATAGCCTACCATTACACACCTTCTGTTGTTAGTCACTAACAGTCCCCATTAACTATTCACCCTCCCAGCCTGATCATTAGCAACTCCTTTGTCTGTCCAACTGTCTCTCTCTCTTCAGGCTCTATCTTATCGTTTACTCCCTACTCCACCCACCCCCCCTATTTTCTGCATATAAACCGACGTTTTCCCAGCCACCATCAGTTCAGAGGAAGGGTCACCCAAAACGTTAACTGTTTTCTCCTTCACAGATGCTGCCAGACCTGCTGAGCTTTTCCAGCTACTTTGTTTTTGCTCCTGATATAAACAGAGGATGCTGGAGAAACTCAGGTCAGGCAGCATCTGTGGAGAGAGATGCAGAGTTAATGTCGAGTCTGGTATGACTCTTCAGTTCTGAAGAAGTCACAGACTTGAAATGTTAACTGTTTCACTCCACACAGATGCTGCCAGACCTGCTGAGTTTCTCCAGCGTCCTCTGTTTCTATCAGATTTCCAGCATCTGCAGTGTTTTGCCTTTAAATCAAATCTAATAACTAAAATATACTTGTGATATTGATAGATGGAGAACTAAATGCAAGCCCGTGCAGAATATACCCTTTTGATCCTTTCACTTATTATTTTGGGGAGGAATGGGGGTAGAAATCAAAGAGGAAGACAGGCCTTTAAAACACTTTACAATGCTGACTGACCAATTAAATCCAAAACATTTTCTATTTTATTTCAGATGACAGTCCTACATTTATTATCTGTGACTCAAAGAAGCATGTCCAACATGTTGGCAATTTTAGTGAAGGATTCAAAATAACGTAAATTTTTTGCTATCTGATGGAACAAAATAATGGCTATCAGCTACAAATTGTCATCTTACAGTTTGTTACTGATCGAACAGGCCATCATTCTAATTAGGGAAAGTGAGTGTTGTCACTATTTTTAAATAACATGATATGACAAAACAGAAAAAAATAAAAAAAAAAAGGAGAGGACACCATTTGGCCCTTAGAGCCAACTCTGCCATTCAACAGAATCATGGCTGACCATCCAACTCAATAACTTCTTTCCAATTTCACCCTATACCCTTTCATCCCTTTAGCCCCAAGAACTACATCTATCTCGTTCTTCAAAACATTCAATGGCATTGACCTCAAATCTCTGTGGCAGATAATTCCACAGGCTCACCACTCTCTTCACCCAGAGACTTCTCATCTCAGGAACAAATGAATGAATTGCCTGACTCTGATGAATAAGTTACTGCTCACAGCTTTGGCATTGCTCAATTTTACACAAACTGTAAAGCAAGATTAATCCAAAAGTCCTTTTGCAAACATTGCACACTGATTAAGAATGCAGTAGCAACATGGCAATCTCATCACATGAGTAATCTAGAGCCCAGTTCTGGGGCCAGGTGTTCAAAACCAACTATCTAACACAATGGGGTAAATTGGTCAGGCTATATCCTATTCACAAAAAGTCTCAAAAAAAGTCTAGTCTCAAACAAACAAAGTGATGGAAGGGGTCATTGATTGTGCTTTGAAGCACTTGGGGGATTAAAAAAAGCAGTAACTTGCTTACAGACATGCAGTTTGGGTTTGATCAGGAACACTTGATGTTTGCTCAAATATGGACAAAAAACGGCTGAACAGCAGAGGGGAGAACAAGACAGTGACTTGGCAAAACTGGAGTCATTCGAAACAGAGGTGAGGGTGGGATCTCTCCGCTGCTCAGAATTATACCTAGCACCTAAAACACAATGATTTTCTAACTACCGCAACCAATCATTTCAGCCCCCAGGAAATAATTCCACGAGTTCCCAGGGTAGTGTCCTAGGTCCATCCATCAGAATGTCTTCAATTGCCTACATTCCACCATAAGACCAGATGTACACCGACCACTCATTTTCAGACCCATTCACTTTCTGTTCCTGAAGCTGTCCAGTTCATAACGCAGCACAACCAGGACAATATCCAGGCTTGAGCCAATAAGTATCAATTAATATTCATGCCACACAAGAGCTAGCCAATGACATTCTCAAGCGAGAGAGAGAATCTAACCGTCACCCCTTTATATCCATGGCATTACTATTTCTGAACTCCTCACTTCCACAAAAACATTTGCAGCTCGGTGAGCATGTCTACAACCTCACCCACAACCTGAGCTACAAATCTTCTAACTTTCCCCACTTGACCAGAGACTGAACTGGACCAGCTATTCACATGCTGTTACTATAAGGAGGTGAGAAGATAGGAATTAGGAAACAAGTAACTCACCTATCTTCTCAAAGTCTGTCCACTTAAAGACGTGGGTCAAAAGTGTGATGGGACATGATTTGCCTGGATGAGTTCAGTTCTAAAGACACTCCGGAAGCTTAGCATCAAAGGACAAAGCAGCCTACCTGATTAGCACCTTACCCACCACCAGTTCGCAGCACTGTGTACCATGTACAAAATGCACTGCAGAAATTCACCAAGCCTCCTTAGACAGCTCCTTTAAAGGCCTCTACCACCTAGAAGGACAACAGCAGGAGATGCATGGGAACATCATGACCTGCAAGCTACTCATTGTCGTGACGTGGAAAATATATTGTCATTCCTCCATTGTCACTGAGGCAAAATCCTGGATATCTGTTCCTAACAGCTTTGTGGGTCCCCCTTTCAGGAAAGGCTGCATGAGTTCATGACAACACCTGTCACCAGAACAAAATCAAAGTTGCACAACAAATGCAGGCCTAGCCAGTGACACCACATTCCATGAGCAATTAAAATAAAATTAAATACTAAAATCACTAAGAACTTCCACTTTATAAAGCTTGACTGCGCAACATGCTGACAACATGGCTCCAAGTCACAACATTTGGACTCAAATAATTTTGGAAGGTTTCTCATCAACTCAGCAGCACTTCCCATGCCTGCTTGGGTGCATAAAAATACAATTTTATTTTTGTGTTGATGCTTCCATTTTACATCCTACTCTATTGGCAGAGCGCTACACCTTACGAGTCAAAGAGAATTAAGTGACCTGAAACACAAGACAAAGACTTGCCACAACCCCTCACATCCTAAGCTCCATTAAACTCTACGCATTGCTTGCCACTTGCCAGAACAAGCACTTGACCCGACAGAAAGCAGACTGAACAGCAAGTGCGATATTCATTAATTCAGAAATGAGTCAGAGGAGACATCACAAAACTCAAAACAAGACCACCACATACCCAGGTCTGGAGGAGCATTCGCTGTCAGAAAGTGGATGCGCTGAAGACTGAGTGAAGCTGGTCAAGGCACTGATCTGAAGATTCTTGTCACTGCACGTATTTGTGGAGTTCCTTCAGAGGGAAGACAAGAAAGTCATTAATGGGAAGCTTTCAATGGTAATTTGCAGTTGTTCAAAGAAACAGTGTGAATAATGACTTGGCCTGGAATTCCACTTGGAGCCCCCATTATTATTTTCCTGTTGTTAATTTACAGCACCACAGTTTTGCAGCAGTTAAATGAAATTAAACCCAGAAGCAAATGAATCTGGGCCACAAACAGATTTAAAATTGATCTAAAAGGCACAAAGCTCAAGTTGATACTGTTGGCAAAGAACCGAATTGCTCAATTTATCCCAGTCTTGAATTAGATGGTACAACAACCCCTGGGAGGTAATGAATAGGATAGATAAAGAGGAAGCAGTGGATTTATTTGGATTTTCAGAGGGTGTACGGCAAGGTATTACACATAAAAGGTTACTTTACAAGACCCCATGGCGTTTTTTTTTTTTGGGGGGGGGGGGGAGGAAGAGGGGGGCGGGTATTGCATTAAAATGGAGTACTGTGTAACTAATAGATGACAGAATTGTGATAAGGGGGTATTTTCAATACGATTAACTAGTGGACTGACATGGATCGGTGCTAGGGTCACAATCATTTACAATACATTAATGACTTAGATCAAGAAAATGAGTTACTATAGTCAAATGTTGCAGATAACAAAAATAATTCAAAAAGCAACTGGTAAGGACGATGACAGTCTGCATGGGGATACAAAGGTTCAGCAAGTGGATTAAAAACTTTGCAGGTGCAATATAAAAAAAAAGTGGGAAAAATGAGATTCATAGAATCCCTACAGTGTTGAGGCAGGCCATTCAACCCATCAAGTTCACACTGACCCTCTGAAGAGCATCCCACCCAGATCAAACCCCTACCTTGTCCCAGTATCCCTGCATTTCCCACAGCCAATCCACCGAACCTGCACAAGTTGGGACTGTGCGAAGAAACCAGATGAAACCCACACAGACACGGGGACAATGTCTGTGTAGAGTTTGCACAGTCACCTGGGGATGGAAGCGAATCCAGGTCCCTGGCACGGAGAGGCAGCAGTGCTAACCACTGAGCCGCCCTGGTTGACCACTTTAGCAGGAAGAACATAGAAAGACTGCAGGAAGCTACAGAAATATTTGGCTGTGCTTGTACATTTAAAAAATCCTTATCAAAAGAAAGGCATACTGGGATCGCTGTCAGTCCAGACAAGGTTCACATGGCTGATCCCAGGTATGAGAGGAATATCCTTAGAAGTTAAGTCAGTTAGGCCTGTGTTTATTGCAGTTTAGAAGACTCTGACTTGACACACTAGATGCAGAAGGTGGTTTCCCCTTATGGAGGAAAATCTAGGATCAGAGGGCATAATCCCAGAATTAGGGGTTGCCTATTTACAGCAATGATTAGAAGGAATTCCTTCTCTCAGAAAGTAGTGAATCTGTAAAATTCTTGAGTGCTGTACAGGATAGGTGGATGGGTCATTAACAACGAGAAATCTATACCTCAGCCTAGAACAACAAGAAAGAGGATAGAGGGTCACGGATGTTCGGGGGAAGAGAAAGAAAGCAGAATTGCGGATTCAGATGAACCATGATCACGTTAAGTCCATCAGTCTGTTGAATGGCCCAAATGGAGGTTCCCAAGTCTCATGGTCTTAACTGCATCAGCAGTACAAACACCCCAACCCCGCACTGCCCACTTCTATCTCCTTCCCAAAATCCACAAACCTGAATGCCCTGGTCGACCCATTGTCTCCGCCTGCTCCTGCCCCACCGAACTGATCTCCAACTATCTGGACTCCATTTTCTCCCCCTTGGTCCAGGAACTCCCTACTTATGTCCATGACACCACCCACGCCCTCCACTTCCTCCAGAACTTCCAATTCCCCGGTCCCCAACACCTCATCTTTACCATGGACATCCAGTCCCTCTACACCTGCATTCCCCATACCGATGGCCTAAAGGCCCTCCGCTTCTTGCTGTCCCGCAGGCCCGACCAGTCCCCCACCACTGACACCCTCATCCACTTAGCCGAACTCATCCTCACCCTCAACAACTTCTCTTTCAATTCCTCCCACTTCCTACAGACAAAGGGGGTGGCCATGGGTACCCACATGGGCCCAAGCTACGCCTGCCTCTTTGTAGGTTACGTGGAACAATCCCTCTTCCGTACCTACACTGGCCCTAAACCCCACCTCTTCCTCCGTTACATCGATGACTGTATCGGCACCGCCTCGGGCTCCCACGAGGAGCTCAAACAGTTCATCCACTTCAACACCTTCCACCCCAACCTTAAGTTCACCTGGACCATCTCTGATACCTCTCTCTCCTTCCTGGACCTCTCTGTCTCCATCTCGGGCAACCACCTAGAAACCGATATTCATTTCAAGCCCACCGACTCCCACAGCTACCTAGAATACACCTCCTCCCACCCACCTTCCTGCAAAAATGCCATCCCCTATTCCCAATTCCTTCGCCTCCGCCGCATCTGCTCCCAGGATGAGGCATTCCACTCCCATTACATCAGTTGTCCTCGTTTTTCAAGGACCGTAACCTCCCCTCACCAGTGGTCGAGAACGCCCTCAACCGTGTCTCCCACAACTCATCCCTCACACCCCGTTCCACGCAATAAGAACCAAAAAAAAAAAAATCCCCCTCGTCATCACGTACCACCCCACCAACCTCCGGATCCAACGCATCATCCTACGACACTTCCGCCATCTGCAATCCGACCCCACCACCAAAGACATCTTTCCCTCCCCACCCTTATCTGCTTTCCGAAGGGACCACTCAGTGACTCCCTTGTCCGCTCCACACTCCCCTCCAGCCCCACCACCCCCGGCACTTTTCCCTGCAACCACAGGAAGTGCTACACCTGCCCCCATACCTCCTGCCTCACCCCCATCCCAGGTCCCAAGACGACTTTCCACATCAAGCAGATGCTCACCTGCACATCTGCCAATGTGGTATACTGCTTCCGCTGTAGCCTCCTCTACAATCGGGGAAACCAAGCGGAGACTCGGGGACTGCTTTGCAGAACACCTACGCTCGGTGTGCAACAAACAACTGCACCTCCCAGTCGCGAACCATTTCAACTCCCCCTCCCTTTCCTCAGACGACGACATGTCCATCCTGGGCCTCCTGCAGTGCCACAACGATGCCACCCGAAGGTTGCAGGAACAGCAACTCATATTCCGCTTGGGAACCCTGCAGCCCAATGGTATCAATGTGGATTTCACAAGCTTCAAAATCTCCCCTCCCCCCACTGCATCCCAAAACCAGTCCAGCTCATCCCCGCCTCCCTAACCTGTTCTTCCTCCCACCTCAAGCCGCACCCCCATCTCCTACCTACTAACCTCATCCCGCCCCCTTGACCTGTCCGTCCTCCCTAACTCCCCACCTACACTCACCTTTATTGGGTCCATCCCCGCCTCTGAGCTATTTCCTCTCCACCTATCCTCTCCTCTATCCATCTTCTCTCCGCCTCCCACTCTCTCCCTATTTATTTCAGAACCCCCTTCCCCTCCCCCTTTTCTGATGAAGGGTCTAGGCCTGAAACGTCAGCCTTTCTGCTCCTATGCTGCTGCTTGGCCTGCTGTGTTCATCCAGCCCTGCACCTTGTGGTCTCGGATTCTCCAGCATCTGCAGTTCCTACTATCACTGATTTTCCAGTCAGTCATCAGGAGCTTAATGTAGTAACATGCATCCAGCACTAAGTGGCACTGCAGTCAAGTGTTTGCTTCTTGCATATCTTCTAGATAAAACCAACCATTTCTCAATTATTTTATGATAAATACACCAGTCCAGAATATCCACTCAGTTAACCAATAAAATTCTATGAACCTTCTTAAAACTATATTGATTCACAAAAGCATTCCAAAACAAAACCAGAGGCTTGCTAATTGGTTATTTCATAAATCTACCACAGCCATTAACAAAAATTTTAAAGTAAAAAAGGTGAATATAAAACGTTTCATGCTTTGTAAAAATGCATATTTAACTCAAGCTTGTTCAAAAGTCTCAGGCCAGCGATTTGACAAGCTACAAAAATGACAATTAAGGTTTTAACAGGCATTACGTGACATGAAGGAGAAAGATGACACCAGACAAATGCTATGTGATCTTCAGTACATTTAGTACGTTGGCAATGAATGATCAACAAAGTAAACAACAAATGTAATTTGGATCGAGCTCAATACTATAATTAGTGGCTGGCACTCTGGAGGAACGAAACCATCACACTTGGTCTGCAGCATCTGACCCGTACAGAACAAGCTGAGCAAAATATGTCAGCTGTTGCCATGTACAGCACCAAGAGGCTACTCAGCCCAACAATTCTACATGCTGCCCATAAAGAGCAATCTCCAACTTAGTCCAAAGTTGAAACAGATTGGTGAAATCTGTTTTAAGGATTAATTCCATTGATCTGAGAAACAAAGTTCTTCAAACTCCCAGTGTAAACCCTAGCCATTGGCTGCAAGAACTACTTCTATTTAAAATCAATTACTAATTCTTTTGCCATTCACCCTTTATAGCCTTCAGCCGTCAATAAAAGAAAGCAAGTTTAATTGGAATCAAGTTAAAAATGAGAAATGATTTTTATCAATGCATTCTCTGCTTAAAAGACAAACAATTGAGCACTCCCAGTCAGTTCACATGACCGTATTCATTTTTCATAGGACCTCTCCTCTATAACCTTTGTTGAAATGCAGAGCATTTAAAGTGACTATGTCAGGTGATTAAACTCATGTTCAGTACAGCATCATGATCTCTATGCTCCATGCCTCTAATTATAAAGCCCAGGATTCCATAAACCTGTCCTGCCACCTTCAAAAAGGATTTGAACACAAGCAGCCCAAGTCTTGGAATACAATGTTAAAAAGGAAGTGCCAGAACTACATACCTTGTATGCTCTCTTCACATCACCTCATTTTTCTGCACTGAAACTTGTCAGTTACTAATTTGTTCCATCTGCCTGACTATATCCCCATAAAAACTATTACTACCTTTCTCATTGTACACTTCCAACTTCTTTGACATCTGCAAATTTCAAAAATTGTAACTTCAAGTCCAAATGATTCATGTATAATCAGTGATTCTAAGTAACGAACATTGGTAAAAACCAGACACTGCAAGCTACTGTACAAATCCTTCCAGAAGGGTCAAATAGAGGATAGAGAAATAGAGGATCACTAGTGTGGATGGGCACCATTTTGACACATGAAAGGAATTTCAATAGTGTGCCATTTTGACTTAGTGATGGTGGTTAAAAAAGGTACATCTTTGCACAAGTGATCATAAAAAGCAGTCAAATTAAATTGCCTACAGCATCCATTGCAAAGAGTTCAACAAACCAGAGTAACTTTAGCTACGGCATTTTCAGAAGGAACCCATTAAGTGTGGCACCTTCACTTTCAGAAGCAACCCACCACAATAAAATGCAATTTCCATATTGGATATTCAAAAAAAGAGGAAATAATCTGATGACACTTGTGTAGCAATAGCACACCATGACTTGACAATGAAACCACACAAAACGTCAAGCAGCACAGAATGTGCCTTTCACTCCTGGAAGGGTTCTCAGTCAAGTAACCATCAATTTCATTCGGAGCAAACACAACCCTTGAATGGCTTAAGGCATGTATTCAAAAAGCGGACCTACAGGCATTAGATTCCCTGGTAAAACTGGAATTTTCTTCTGACACAACAGGACTATTTCTTTCTATAGGACTAATCCACACATTGGATCTGCAGGCTTCGATTTCCTATGACTTCCCCTCTATAGAATATACCGCACATTTTGACTATTGGCACATTGCATTATTTTGCTTATAACGTGGATTTTTTTGAATGAAATAGCATCTAAATTCAACTCCCCATCCCCACCGTCCCCCCCCCCCCGTAAGAACGTAGACATTAACTGGCTGACCGACCAACAATGATACAAGCTTCAATTAATTCTAAAGCACCTCAAACTTGTCTAGTTTGAATGGAGTTTAGTCACTTTTTTTTTTTTTTTTTTTTTTAAATCCTCCTTCTAATTTCTAGAGATTAAAATAAATCCTACCCAACAAGAGAGCTTCTGTCCCCTCCACAGCAGTTGTTAATTTATTTTCTTAAAAAAAAGAATGTTCTACATTGTTTTTCCTCCAAGGGCTAAAGCCTGAAATGATGCATACTGAACAGAGATCTGCAAGTTCCCATTCACTCATTTCTCGGAAGTGACTGGCTGCCAATGAGTTTTTTTGGCTGCAGCTAACACTCGAGAATTATGTAATCTCAGAAGTTTCACAGTCGGCTGTTTTTTTGTTTTAAAACAAGAAAGACTTGGATAAGCAATTCCAACTCTTTGCCACTTTCGGAAGATGTCTAGCATCAGTCTGAATTTGTAGACATGGCTAGCAAGAGATTGTCCAGTGAGGAGTGAGTAAATACAATTAGCTTTCGCCCTGTATCAGATGTCTTTTTCTGTGCAAAAACAATCCAATATGCAGGCTTGCAAGATAAAAATTTAGAGCGAGTAAAAGGAAGAGGAAAAAGAAAGAGGAAGCGTCTAGGGTAGCCAGTGGCCTAGTGGTATTAAATCGCTAGTCTATTAATCCAGAAACCCAGCTAAATGTTCTGGGGACCTGGGCTTGAATCCTGCCACAGCAGATGGTGGAATTTGAATTCAATCATTAAAATGTACAGTCTGGAATTAAGAACCTACTGATCACTACGAAATCATTGCCAATTGTCAGAAAAACCCAACTGGCTCATTAATGTCCTTCAGGGGAGGAAATCTGCCACCCTGTCCTGGTCTGGCCTACACGTGACTCCAAACCCACAGCAATGTGGTTGGCTCAATTGCCCTCTAACATGGCCTAGCAAAGTAATTTAGTTGTACCAATCACTACAAAGTCTCAAAGAAACAAAACCAGATGGATCACCTGGCACCAATCTAGGCACGGGAAAAGACAACAGCAGAAACAGCTGTGTCAACCTTGCAAAGTCCTCCTCACTAACATCTGGGGGTTAGTGCCAAAATTGGGAGAGCGGTCTCACAGACTAGTCAAGCAACAGCCTGAGTCATAGTCACAAAATAATACCTCGCAGACAATGTCCCAGACACCACTGTCACCATCCCCGGATATGTCCTCTCTCACCGACAGGACAGACCCAGCAGCATAGTCGGTAGGGAGTCGCCCTGGGAGTCCTCAACATGGGGTTCAGACTCCATGAAGTCTCATAGCTTCAGGTTAAACATGGGCAGGGAACCTCCCGATTATCACGAACTGTCCTCACTCAGCTGATGAATCGGTAGTCCTCCATGTTGAGCAACACTTACAGGAAGCACTGGAGGATGGCAAGGGCACAAAATGTACTCTTGCGTGGGGAATTTCAGTGGCCAACACAAAAAAGTTTGGTTCCGCAGCAGTACTACTGATCGAGCTGGTCAGGTCCTATAGGACATCGCTGCTAGACTGGGTCTGCGGCAGGTGGTGAGAGAAACAAGAGGGAAAAACATACAAGACCTCATCCTCACTAATCTGCCAGGTGCATCTGTCCATGACATCAGTGAGACCGATCATTGTACAGTCCTTGTGGAGACAAAGTCTCGCCTCCACATTGAGAATAATCTCCATCGTGTCGTGTGGCACTACCACCGTGCTACATGGGACAGATTTCACACAGATCTAGCAACTCAAGACTGGGCATCCATGAGGTGCTGTGGGCCATCAACAGCAGCAGAATTGTACTCCAGCACAATCTGTAACCTCATGGCCCGGCATATACCCCACTCAACCATTACCATCAAGGCAGGGGATCAACCCTGGTTCAATGGACAGTGCAGGAGGGCATGCCAGGAGAAGCACCAGACATACCTGAAGAGGAGCTATCAACCTGGTGAAGCCAAGCAGGACTACTTGCACACCAGAACAGCAAAAGCAGCAAGTGATAGACAGAACTAAGTGATCCCTCAACCAATGGATCAGATCTAAGCTCTGCAGTCCTGCCACATCCAGTCGTGAATGGTGGTGGACAATTAAACAACTCACTGGAGGAGGCGGTTCCATAAATATCCCCATCCTCAATGATGGAAGAGTCCAGCACATTGGTGCAAAAAGATAAGGCTGAAGCAATCTTCAGCTAGAAGTGCTGAGTGGATGATCTATCTCAGCCTCCTCCAGTGGTCCTCAGCATTACAGATACCAGTCTTCTGCCAATTCAATTCACTCCATGTGATATCCAGAAGCAGTTGGAGACACTGGATACTGGAAAGGCTACAGGACATGACAACATTCTGGTAATAGTACTGAAGACTTGTGCTCCAGAACTTACTGCTCCCCTAGCCAAGCTGTTCTAGTACAGTTACAACACTTTAATCTACGCAGTGTGGAAATGTGTCTTGTACACAAAGCAGGACAGTCCCAATCTGAATATTATACACGCACACACCATTGGCATTCAAAGGTGTGACCATCACTCAATCCCCCACTAATCAACATCCTGGGGTTTATCATCGATCAGAAATTCAACTGGACTCACCACAAACACAGTAGCTACAATAGCAGGTCAATTTCTAGGAATACTGTGGCGAGTAACACCTCCTGATTCCTCAAAGCCTGTCCACCATCTACAAAGGCATAAGTCAGGAATGTGGAGGAGTGTTCTGGAGGAGTGCAGCCCCAACAACACAAGAAGCTTGACACCATCCAGTACAAAGCAGCCGGCTTAATTGGCGCTACATCCACAAGCATCCATTCCCTCCACTGATGTTCAGTAGTGCACACTACTGCTATCTACAAGATGCGCTGCAGAAATTCACCTTCCAAACCCACAACCACTTCCACCTAGAAGTGTCTGCTGCCCTAGTCCATGGGAGCAGCACCACCTTCAAGTTCCCCTCCAACCTGACTTTGAAATCTAATCACTGGGTCAAAATCTTGGAATTTCGTGGCACTGTAGGTCAACCTACAGCAGGTTGACTGCAGCGGTTCAAGAAGGCAGCTCACCACCTTCTCAAGGGCAACTAGGGTTGGGCATTAAATGCTGGCCAGCCAGTGATGCCCACATCCCACAAGTGAATAGAAAAAAACCCATTAACAATGGATATAGGGACCCTGTAAAAGGAGAGCACAATTAGGGGATTTCTATCTCGGTTGCTTTAAATCAAACAGTTGTTAGTCAATTGTGACTTCAAGTCAGGTTTCTCATGCCAAAACTAATACATAACTAGATAAAAGAAAACTTAAAAGTTAGTCTACTTATTTTTCAGGCTGGTTACAAATTAAAACAAAAAAAAAGGTTACTCAAAAATCCAATTCTCCAAAAAAAAACCATACATAAAGAAACAAAAAATTCTGAAGTTTGTGAATCGCAAAGTGTAAGCGTTGCAAGCAACTGAAGGAGCATGTTTCCTTTGAATAAGCTAATAATTTCTTGATAGTCTAAATATTCTTGTACACACCTTACAGTTTCAGGGAATTCAATCTCTTCTTCAGAGCTGATTTCAATAGGAAACATATCTTCATTCTCCGAAGTATCGCTGTTATCATCTCGTTTTACATTGTCCACTCTCGATTTGCGCCTCCTTTTCCTTCTTTTCTTTGCAGAGCTGTTACTGAGTTGGTTCTCTGGAGCAGCCTGTGTAACATGAATTGGTACTGATGTATGGGAGGATCCAGTCGAATCTCTGTGTCTCCCTGTTGTTCCTTCTTTTAGTGCAGCACCTTCTGATCCAAGGATAGGCGAGGTATTCAAGTGTAAAGGAACATTTGCCTGAAAAACAGTAACAAAAAGATGTCAATTACACCCACTCGATTTCTATAGCAGTCAAGAGTGAGCATTTATGTACTTGCTCTTCATTAATATACGACTGAGTAATTGACTGTGGATCCTTTGAAAAAAAGAAAGATTTTTCTAAAGATGTTCAAAATCTCAACCAAACCTCATCCAGGTATTGATTAATCTAAACCAAAGCTATCCATGGTGACATTAAACACTTGGGGTGCCAGAGCACCATGATAGCTCCACTTGCTACACAATTAAACACAACAGAACACAAATAGGGAAGGGAAAGGACTATTTTCAAACTTTATCAGAATTGCAGTGAGTTTATGATGATCTGGAATGCACCATCAGGTGATGGAGAGTCACTACATCAACAACTCAAAAACAAGATGTGCATGTCTTGGAAGAGGAAAGCTTGCAGGGTTGAGACAAATAGTGGGATTAAGGAGATAGCTCACCCCAAAAGGGCTGATTAGCCTTCTTCTGTATGGTACGTTTCTATACCCTTCCTGGAGTCATCTTCAGGAAAGGCCCAGCGAAGTCATAACAAATTAGAGTGGGATACTCATGCCAGCACAGGAAAATAAAGACTTCTATCCCAAAACAAAAAATACCTAATCTAAGACAAACCCACAACCAAGGGCAGAAACCATTTACATGTACAATGAAGTCTGTCCCACAGCCCAAGGCAAAACATTTAACTGATTTTATAAAAAGTTCCCAACAATTCTCATTTTACTCACGTTTACCGAATTGAACATTTTCCAAGATTCAATTGTTGCACAGCAATTGTTATGTAACCTCAATCACAATTTCAAACTTGTTATTTCAAGTCTGACTTGTGAATACTGTCACTGCAGCTTTTCCTCATATGGCAAACCTGTCTTCATTCCAAAGGATTTAGTTTTCTTTAAAAATGTATAACACAACGATTAGGAGGGTGGCTACAATTGAGGTTTATGCTTTAGCATTTGGTTTCTACAATTACTATATTTTTGTATTGTGGCTTTAGTTGGAGGGTAGATGAAAGTGATTGCATGGCTTGTGCTAGAATTTGCCCAATAGCAAGCTTGCTTTAATTGTCAGAGACCAAAGGAAGTCTCAGATTGTTCTACTGAACAGACGGGAACAAGGTATGCAGAGTCAGGGACAACGACAGTAGTCTAAGCTCTAAGTCCACAGTAAGTACTATTTGTCACCCAAAAAAGTTTCAGAAATGTGCTGTAGATGAATATTAAACTGAGGTGCCACAAAGTAAAGGGAGTTGGGATCAGAAATAAAATTAACATCTCTACTTCGAAATAAAATAAGTTAAATGTGCTTCCCATTGACCCTTCACTGTCACAGCATCAGCAGTGGAGGAAGTGAATGCCTAAAGAGATGGAATGACATATCAAATCAAGCAGGCTGCTTTGTTCGGGATGGTGTTAGGATTAAAGAGTCCGGAATACAGTACAAAGTTGAAGTAAGTACAAAAATACAGTTAGGGAAGCAACGTTCACGTTTAAAAGTATAAATAAAAGATAGGTGAAAAGAAGTCACTAGAAAGGTCAAAAAAAGGGTTCAAATTATCTTTGCTGAACAGCCTGTATTTTTACTTGAACGTAAAAGATTCCAACTCAAATGGAAAGTGTACAGGTTTTGTAAAAGGCACCAAGGGAAGGTCAGAGATAAGTGACTAGCTGATGTCAGAAAACAATTGGTTTTAAAGTTATTTCCATTATTCAACCTTGTAGTAGTTGGCATACTTCAGTAACAAGCAAGTTATGTCCCGAGAGTGTATTTAAGCCAATTAAAACAAAACCACAAAATCATTCTATCTTCTGTCAAACAGTGTCAATGTCCACTCTTCTTTCTCAGCATTGGATGTGGAATTCTGTCCACCGTAAGGGGTTGGGAGGGGGCGCGGGGGTGTGCACACGTGATGTCAGATACTACCTAGTTGGCTTATAAAATTCCAAAATAAATATTAAAAAAAGCTAACAAAAAAGTTATTACAGCACAAGAGGCTATTCAGTACATCCACGATTAAAATCAAGTCAGTCCCACTTGATCCCCATAGACCTGCAAGTTTAATCTCCCTCCAATTTCGGCATTCATCTGTTGCCACTATCAATTTAGTGTTCCAAGGTGTTACTCATGAGAAAACTTTGGTATGCTCTTATGTCACAATATACCTTGCTGAAGATCTAATTGTGTGAGAAAGAAGATTAAAAACCCATTCACCATTGAAGGAAAAAAACACCATCTAAAGTTGCAGAGAATCAAAACTAAAATACTGCTGTCCGTGCCAATAATTATTTGGTAATCAGAAGCAAATAATTATTCTATCACGTGGTTGTCTACATGAGGCACCGCCAGTGCTTCAAGATGTAAGCAAAACAAAACCAAAAAAAAAAATTAAATATTGTCATAGGTTACCAGTTTGAAAACACAAGCTGATTGTTCTGTACTTTTGGCATCCATACGCGTTTATTATTTGCAATTTGAAGGAGTAGAAAGTGCAAGAAATAAAGATTCAAAAGTGTGAGCGTTTTTTGGGTCTCAACTGGTTGCAGTGTGGTGTCAGGTGTTAAGGTCTAAATAAGCTTACTGAAGCAATAAAAAAAGTTGCTGATGAATCATTACAGCAACCAATAGATTCTTTTCCAAAAAAATTCATGTTGCATTACAAAAACGCAAATGCAAAATAATACACATTTCTCCCTCCCCTTCACAGCACCGAGTCGGGATAGGGTCCTTGGATTGTAAGTGGTCTGACCATGCTGATGGGCTTAGATTTTTTCTTGTCTATCAGACAATCATTGGATTTCCTGCACTCTTTTCACCCATCATCTGTCAAATTGTTCACAGGTTTATTTTTAAGTTAGAAATCAGCCTTCAGTGGCCAAGAGATTTGCTTTCCTTAGCGCTATGGTGCTGCATCTGATTCAGGAACAGCCTTGCACTTCCAATTTAATAGGTCATGGTCACTTCTCAAAAGCAGCCTTGACTTTGAGTGGAGAAGC